TGCAACAAAATAAAGGATAAAATCTTAACTAAACTGCTCAGACAAAACAAATTAACAACAAAACAGTACTTTAAATGCCTAACAAATCACAAAGCAGGAGCAAACAATGAAAATACAACAAGAATGGCAGCCACCTCCCTAAAGCTTCTATAAAAGGTAGAAACAAACATATTCAAAATTATAACTGAAGTTACAAACATAATAATCTTGTAAAATAAAAAAGCCCTAACTTTAAGTATGACAAGTTACACGTTGGAGTCACTATTTTAGTAAATTAGTTTACATTCCCTCAGATTATAGATCAATTCAAACAAACTGACACTCAACCATAAGAATACACAACAGTTTTAACAAAAAGGCTGGGGAGGGGTCAGGACCTCGGTTTAGCATCTCATCCGAAAGACGGTGCTTTTTGACAGTATAGTGTTCCCATCACTATACTGGGGCTTTTGGACCCACACGGACCACAGGGTGAGCACCCCCTGCTGGCCTCACTAACACCTCTTCCAACAGCAACCTAGTTTTTCCAGGAGGTCTCCCATCCAGGTACTGACCAGGCTCAACCCTGCTTAGCTTAAGTGGGTGACCAGTCTCGGGCTGCAGGGTGATATGGCTGTGGCCATATATTGTTATTTGTGATTTTCAGTGCTACAGCTTTTGTGATGTTGACGTTTCTTTCACACTCTATCTCTATGACCCTGTTAGGCCGGGCATACAATGTGCAATTTCAGCAACGTTTTTGTTAGTAAATCTCACGCAATGTCAAGCCAAAGCTCAGGATTTATGTGCTCACACTATACGGTCTGATCGTCAAGCTGCGATCTTAAATGCTCACACTATACGGGCGAAATAACATGTACATGAAAAATGTAGAAACTTTGGGGATAACTATAGGGCACTGTTGTGCAGCAGCAAGCATCACAACAGGGAAAGGAACCTCAAGTTGATCCAGGTAAATGTGTGAAAATGTACAGTATAGGTCCCGTTCCTATATTTTGCCTGGGACCCCCAAATCAGTAAATCTGCCCTTGCGCAAACGAAATATGTATGTGCAATCTCTGAGCACTGATCACTATAACATCATATTTCTGCTTGAACACAGTTCAGTATATTCACGTAGTTGTCAAAATTAATTTACAGCGGAATGCTTGGTTTATATTGGTATATGTCTTATGTTCAGACGCACCAAACACAGACATGATCGATTGTTCTGAGAGAGGAACTGTTCACTGATGATAACGTCAAGTCACCTTCAGATCGCTGAGTTTCCACACATTAAGAATGTTTTTACTTTTACTTTTTATTTTGATGTGTTTAGTGATTCTGAATGGATCTGTATAGTAGCTATTATGCATCTCCCTCTGGTTTTGTGGTCTGCAGTGACATTTTTGCAAAGTATGGTTGCAAAAAAGAACACTGAAGGTTTAAATCTATCTTGAATTTGTTTAAAAACAATAAAATGGAGTTGAAATATCTAGCATAGCGTTAGTTCTGGCAGGTCACGTTAGTCAAACTCGCATCAGCTGACTCTCAGCTGATCTCCATCAACCTATGGGAATACGACACCTATCTAAGCATTCATATATAAGGTCTCTCAGTATTGTCAGCAGTTTTCGCATTTCTCAATAGCTAATTACCCTCCTCCATCCCCAACTCCTCCTCTGTCAGTCAGGATTCAGCCTTCTGATTCTCCTTTGAATCAGACTAATTCTAAAATGTGTACATAACATTATTGAACTTTAACGATATCTGCAATACATTTATGTTGGTTCTGTTCTGTTTACCCTGGGGG